AGGCCTCTACCCCCACATCATGGCGGAGCGGACAACCTTCCTGAGTCACCCTCCTGGGTGCCACCATCACTAGAGGGCCTCTCAGGGCCTTCCTAGCTCCGAGTCTGTGAGCCATGACGGCCGCGGACGACTCTGGTCATTGGACCTTATGTCCGATTTGTGCCTCGCATGGCGGTAACAGCCAGAGGCCCATGTAGCAGAATTCTCTCTGGGCTGCGTCTGTCCAGGAATCCCGCATGACCTTAAATGTGCACAGGAGGCTCTGTTTTCAAATAAGTTTAATTGATGCCTTTTAACTATATATTTTTTCTGGATACAATCCCCACCCTTAACCCCCAGAGTAAAATCTTCCAATAAAACAAAAAAAGAGCTGAGCAAAGAACAACTAACCAAGTCTGACTCTGTATCCAATCCCATCCAGCTAATTCTCCATCCTGTCTGAGGCCAGATGCCGGCCCGCTTCTGATAGGATATCTGCAGCTGCCAGCTGCGACCCAGGAGACAGCCCTGGCACATGCCCCTTATCGGGGGCCGCCAGGGCTGCTGCCAACCGGGCCAGGCACCTAGGGATGCGATGGAAAAGGGGGTAATGAGATGGAGAGAGTGAAAGGCCAGCAGGAGCAGCCTGACTGCACGGCTGCAAAGTCATGGAATGTTAGAGCTGGGTGGGGAGTGGGGATGCGTCAGAACAGGGGATGGCAGGGCTGGGAGGGGCCTTAGAAAAGGGGATGGCAGGGCTGGGAGGGGCCTCAGTACAGGGGATGGCAGGGCTGGGAGGAGCCTTAGTACAGGGGATGGCAGGGCTGGGAGGAACCTTAGTACAGGGGATGGCAGGGCTGGGAGGGGCCTTAGTACAGGGGATGGCAGGGCTGGGAGGAGCCTTAGAAAAGGGGATGGCAGGGCTGGGAGGGGCCTCAGTACAGGGGATGGCAGGGCTGGGAGGGGCCTTAGTACAGGGGATGGCAGGGCTGGGAGGAGCCTTAGTACAGGGGATGGCAGGGCTGGGAGAGGCCTTAGAATGGGATGGCAGGGCTGGGAAGGGCCTTAGTACAGGGGATGGCAGGGCTGGGAGAGACCTTAGTACAGGGGATGGCAGGGCTGGGAGAGGCCTTAGAATGGGATGGCAGGGCTGGGAGAGGCCTTAGAATGGGATGGCAGGGCTGGGAAGGGCCTTAGTACAGGGGATGGCAGGGCTGGGAGAGACCTTAGTACAGGGGATGGCAGGGCTGGGAGAGGCCTTAGAATGGGATGGCAGGGCTGGGAAGGGCCTTAGAAAAGGGGATGGCAGGGCTGGGAGGGGCCTTAGTACAGGGGATGGCAGGGCTGGAGGGGCCTTAGTACAGGGGATGGCAGGGCTGGGAGAGGCCTTAGAATGGGATGGCAGGGCTGGGAGGGGCCTTAGTACAGGGGATGGCAGGGCTGGGAGGGGCCTCAGTACAGGGGATGGCAGGGCTGGGAGGGGCCTCAGTACAGGGGATGGCAGGGCTGGGAGGGGCCTCAGTACAGGGGATGGCAGGGCTGGGAGAGGCCTTAGAATGGGATGGCAGGGCTGGGAGGGGCCTCAGTACAGGGGATGGCAGGGCTGGGAGGGACCTCAGTACAGGGGATGGCAGGGCTGGGAGGGACCTCAGTACAGGGGATGGCAGGGCTGGGAGGAGGGTATTGAGGGAGTTGTGTTGGAAAACATCAGAACAGGAAGCTCTGTGGCTCCACTATTCCTAGAGCTCTGGGTCTAGAGTCAAGAAGACCCGAGCTCAGATTTGGCCTCAGACACCATCTTATCTAGTTCAGTTCCAATCACCTTAGAGACCATCTGGTCCAGTTTCCACTTTCTAGAGGAGAAAACTAGAGGAGACCCCAAGAGGGGCAGTTGACTTATCCTGGGGCATTCAACTTGTTAGTAGCAAAGTTCAGACTCAGATCCTGAGACCTCCCTGACTCCAGCTCTGTTTGTTTCCTGAAACTTGGTCACCGTCCTTCATGCCGAGATAAACAGTTGGAGGTTGGACCATAGAATAATTAATAATAACAATAAGCTACATGTCATGTAGCTTATTATCATTATAGATGGTTACTATGCTATCTAATTATGATCATTATAAATCTAAGGTTGTATATTGAGTTGCTTGCCTTTTCAATGAGAGTGGGTGGGAAGGGAGGAAGAGAGAAAATTTGAAACCTAAAGTTTTAAAAACATGTTTAAAAAAAATGTTTTCCCATGCTACTGGTAAATAAGAAATACAGGAAATGGGGTACAGAAGTCTGTCCTGCCCTACAGGAAAATAGAAGGGGAAGGGGATAAGAGAAGGGGAGAGAGATAGAAGAGAGGACAGACTAGGGGAAGGGATATTCAGCCATCTTGGGGTGGGAGGAGGGGGGAGATGGGGTGAAAATTTGGAATTCATAAACTTGTGGGAGTGAATGTTGAACGCTAAAAATAAGTTTATATTTAAAAAAATAAAATAAATTTAAGGTTGGCAAAACACTTTACAAAGGTTAACTCATTTGATCTTCACAACAATCCTGGGGAGGTATGTGCTGGTATCTCCATTTTACAGATGAGGAAACTGAGACACGTTAAGTGACTTGCCCAGGGTCACATGGCTAGCAAGTGTCTGATTTGAACTCAATCTTTCCTACCTCCAATTCACATTCTCTGACCACTACACGACCCAGCAACCCTAGGAGGCATTTCTTCCTTCTCATAGAATCCTGGAATTAGAATGGCCTCAGAGTCGTTCATCTGGTCCGGCCGCCCTCCCTCTGCCATGTCCTGGATGAGTGACCTTCCTCCTCACCCCGATGTACACACAGCACCTCCCTGGCCTCACCGGACATGTCAGTGGCCCCAGGGTGGGCCCCTGAGTCAGGGCTCTCCCCAGAGGGCACCAGGCCAGTTGAGTCTGTGGCTGCAGAGACACTGTCTCTGAGTTCCATCTCCGACACTACACCTGGGCAGACCTGGGCAAGTCCCCTCCTGGGCCTCAGTTTCCTTCTCTGTTAAAGTGAAAGGGCTAGGCTTGATGTCCTCAGGTTAACCTCGGCCCCAGTGAGAAGCACTTCCAGGCCACGCTGGGGTTAGGGGCATTTTATTTGGAGCAGCAGATGTCTCCTTGGTGCCTGCTGTGGACAGAGCCGTGTGCTCGGAGCGAGGAGAGGCGTTTCTGCCCACCTGGAGCTCCCAGAGCAGTGAGAGACAAGACACAAGCATCGTATGTGAGAGTCTGAAGGGGAAGATCGGGATGCCATGCCAGAGGGCTTCCTGGAGGAGGTGGTGTTAGGGTTTTAAAGAGGGAGTAGGAATTTTACAGGTGACAGATCCCAGGTTAAAACTAGAAGGGGCCTCAGATGCTGTCCATTGGCCTCATTTTACAAATCAGGAAATTGGAGTCCAGAGAGGTTAAGTAATTTGTCCAGCATCACACAGCATGTCAGCGGGAAGAGACAGAAGGTATTCCAGGAATGAAATCCCATCCAGCAGCCTGAGCAGCATCACAGAGATGAGAACAGACCTGCAATTGTGGAAGGCACTGAATGCCACACATAGTTACTGAAATTCTACTCAGTGGGTAATTGGGAGCAAATGAAGGTATTTTGTCGTGTTTAAAACAGAAGGACAGGACCCAATTTCAGCATAAGGAGGATAATTCTGGCAATGAGATGATGGATGTGTTAGTAATAGGAGGAGAGTGGTGGGCAGCTAGGTGGCGCAGTGGACAGAGCACAGGCCCTGAAGTCAGGAGGACCTGAGTTCAAATCCTGCCTCAGACCAAACACTGGACACTATGTTGTGACCCTGGGCAAGTCACTTAATCCCAATTGCCTAAAAAAATAAAACGAAACAGTGGAGGCAGAAGGACTTGTTTGGCACTGTTTGACTTTGGAGTCAGAGGAGACCTGGGTTCAAATCTTGTCTCTCTCACAGACTTACCTGTATGGCCTTGGGCAGTTCAGCACCCCCAGATGAAATAAGGAGATTGGGATTGATGACCTCTGAGCTCCTTTCTAGACACATGACTCAGAGACTCTGTGTCACAGACATAGTATCCACAAAGATGCAGAGGGAAGGTCCAGCTTAAGTCCAGGGTTACAAATGTGGCAGCCCGGGGGGGATGGTGGAGGCGGAGACAGAGGGTGACTTCCAAAGGAGGACTGGGGCTGGGGAAGGGGAAGGAGCTCATTCTGGGGCATGTTGAGATTGAGGGGTTGGTGACACCTCTAGCTACAGGCAGTTAGAAAGAGGTCAGGGCTGGAGAGATTTGTCTGTGTCTAAGGTGGGAATGAGTCAGACAATACTTTAGGTCTCCTAACCTCTGCCCCCACAGCCTCCCTCTCAGACCTCTTTTCTCCCTTACACGGATGTCTCCTGGTTCTGCCCCTCATTTATGTCACAGGGTTTTTTGTGAAAAAGCCACAAAATGAATGCCACCCCAGGACCAGTGCCCCCCAAAAAGCCCTCCAATCAGCTGGGGTGAGGAAGGAGATGTGACGTCATGATACAGTGCTCTCAGGACAGTTCCCAAAGGGGGAGCATTTTCACTGACGTGAAGGAGGCAGGCAGCTCTGCCTGATCCCCTGTGGATGGAGGGAAGGAAGGAGCCTTTATCTTAAAGGCTTTATCTTTAAGCCTTTGTCTTAAAGGAGGTGGGCCAGGATGCCCACTGGGTTATCCTACCCTCACGGTGAATGATCTGTGCACGTCACCTTCTACCTCTAAAATGCAAGCTCCTTGAGGGAGTTGACAGTGTTGGGCACACAGTGAATACTTAATAAATGCTTGTCAGCTGCCCAGTGATGAGAGCAGAGAGCAAACAAGTTCTCAAAGAACCATTTGGCCTATTTTTCTCCCCAAGGAGACTTTCAGAAAATGGAAGCAGCCTCGCTGCCCTAACCCGTGTCAACCATGAGGCTGATGGCAGGCAGACTGCTCCCCCCACCTCCACCCCCCAGCCAAGGAATTAGAGAGAAGACACAGCTTTATTGAAATTACCATTGTATTATTTCTTAAATGGGTCAGTTTTTATTACTGAAATATATCTTCTCTCTTAACCATGAAAAATCACAAATGCACTGAACAGACCATGGACAGCCATGACTTTCAAGGAAACAGACTGTTGTCATTAAATAAACTGGGTGTCTTAGAACAAAGTTAAGAAGGCTTCTGCCTTCACAAATTCCTTTGGTTTTAAACCCAGTGCCAGGGACAGGATGGGGCAGAATGGCATGCTGGTCCTCGTCAGGCCCACAGACGGGTTCCTAGAGCCCCTGCCTTCCTGCCTCTGGTTAGTCTGGTGCCTTCCGTGCTGCTTCTGAGGTCGCAGAGGCACCAGGCTGGGGTCAAGGATGAAGTGAAGCTTTGAAGGTGAGAGAGGGCCTCGAGGCCCCTTGAGGTTTCTAGCATCTACTCTGAGCCCCCTGGGCCGCCCTGCTCCCCAGAGGCTTGTCAAGGTGAAAGACCACAGAAGGTCTCATGAAGAGGTGGGCCCTTTGTGGACCGGGGGGACATCCATCACCCAGCCACAGGCACCCATGTCCAGCTACATACCATGGAGACTGGAAACCTGAAAAGTCTCCTTCTCCAGCCTCGTATGATGAGGAAGCAACAATTCTGATTAATTTGGATTCAAGGCAGAGGCATGTGGGCTAAGCCTCTGCGTGACCCCCATGAGGCGGTCATTGTATTTCTAAGAAAAATGTAAACTTTAAACATTCTGTTAAACATCACAGTGGAGGGTGATGACCCGTGTGGGGGTGACCACAGGCCTTGGGCAAGGGGGAGCTACCTGGCCTAACTCAATTCCAACTATGCTTCACCATCCACCACCCACCAACTTCCTATGGGCTTGGTTCAGGAGGGCGGGCGGGAGGGCCTGATTGTCCTGAAATGTTTGGTCTTCCTGCCTTCTGGTCATCTCAGGGTCAGCCCCAAGCCCCACAGCTAGAGCACCCCAGACACTTCGGGGCCGCTCCCATTCTCGGGGGCCGCCCTGGCCTGAAGCACGACTGCTTGGATCCGGAAGTGCGTCCTGGACTCCATGGAGTAATTCTTGTAGTTTTGTCTAGGACCAAACAGAGAACAAGACCGGGTCAATGATGAGATCCCCTGGGCACGGGGCCATGTGGGTTCGGGCAAAGCGAGGGGAGCTGACAGGGGCCTCCCCTCCTGACTCTGGCTGCCCCTGTCCTGGGAACTGTCTGAGTGTGGGGCCTGGGGCACTCATCCCCACACCGTGCAGGGAGTTACATTCGTCATCACAGCTAGCACTTACACAGCTCCTTACGGGCATCTCACAGCAATGTCGGTGGACGGGAGTAATTCAAGCAAAAGAAAGTCTGCGGTTAGACAAAACCATCCCAGAAGGCCCCCTCCCCCATTTCCACAGTGGATGATTTCAGGAAAAAGGTCATGAGAAAAGGTGTGATGTTAGAGCCGTATATGATGGAAAAGCTGAAAAACCTTTGGAAAAGGTCACAGGATCAGAACTTTCGGCAGGAAGAGGCCTCAGAGGTCACTGAAGTCCAACCCCCAGAGAGGGGGGTAGTGACTCACAGGTCATCACCTTTGTCCGCCTGCCAGTGACCACAACAGAGAGGTCTGCTGCCTTCCCCAGCAGAGTAACGGAGGCTCACACCCACTCAGAGGTGAGTCACGGGGACAGATGATGTCAGCAGGAGGAATTCAGAAGGGATTGCTAAGCATGAGGAAGTCGGGCATGGGTGGCATCTTCCTCTTCTCCGCCCCTCAGATACAAAGGCATCTGGGGGAGGACCATACAGAAGGGAGAGGTTCTTTGTCAGGGATGGAGGGAACATTAGGAGGGCATGGTGGAAATGCTATTTGCCTGCACAAGTCTCGTCTTTAACATGAAGGTGGAGAAGACCCATCTCCATACACAGCCATCAACAGTGAAAACCGACCGTAAAGACCCCCGGTGATTCACTGGAGACGACACGGAAGCGGCCACGAACGAGAACCGTCCCAGGCCTCCGATGTCTGCACCCAAGCCTAGAACCTGGGGGGAGTCGGCAGCGTCTGCTCGCTCACCTGATGCCAGGAGGCAGGGCAGACCTCCCAGTGCGGGGGGGAGACCCATGCCTGGAACACGGCTCATGGCCGGGGGAGGGGGAGACCTCAGAATCAGTGAAATGCATGAAGTTGGGGGGAGGGAGGGCAGAGTGGATGGAAGCGAGGAGGGGCGGTGCTCAGGTGAGGACATCCAAGAATGGCGGGGGGGAGGTCGCCATGCTGCAGGGCTGGCACAAGGCCAATGTCCCAATTTTCAAAGGAGGGAAGAGAAGAGTCTTCAGACCAGGCAGGGAACTTGACTTTGATTCCTGGCAAAATTCTAGAGCAGAACATTAAAGGGAAGCCTGTGACCATCTAGAGAAGGAGGTGGTGATCACCGGGAGCCAGATTGGCGCCCCACTGTTTATGTAGACTTAAGGCAGAGAACTGGAGAGCCGGGGCAGAGGGGGACGCTCGCGCTGTTCTTATGGGGGACATGAAGAGCTGAAGTTGGAGAAACTGGGCGGAATCCGAACAAAGGTCGTCGTCACTGGGTCAGTGACAACTGGAAGAAGGTCTACGGGGGAGTGCCCCAGGGATCTGTGGCCAATCCGGCCTCCGACATTTTCACCAATCACTCACTGGGGCCAAGGCTTATCAAATCTGTCAGTGACTCCGAGCTGAGGCATGGCTAACGTACTGGATGCCGGGCTCCACAAAGATCGGGGTAGGTAGAATGCGGGCCAAATAGAATAAAGCGAAATCGAGTAGGAACATGTGTGTTCAAAGTGTTTTTTCCTAAGTATAAGGTGGGCAGGGTATGACTAGACAGCAATTCATCTGAAAATGGTCAAAGGGAGGCGGTCTTAATGGACCGCAAGCCCAGCCTGAGTCTACAGTGTGATGTGGCCGGGAGGAGAGCCAGTGTGCTCTCGGGCTGCCGACCCCAGGAAGGAGGGGTGGGAGCGCCTCTTCTCCTCAGCCCACCTGGAGGCAGGACACTGAGGAACTTCTAGAAGAGGGAGATGGGGAAGCACCTCGAACCCGTGCCTGATGCAAATCAACTGAAAGAACTGGGACTGTTTGGCCAGCACGTAGACTCAAAATATGAGAAGAGCCGCGGCCCGGCAGGGGGGTGAAGTGCGCTCTGTGCGGCCCGGGAGGGCCGGACCAGGAGCGAGGGGGCGGCGCAGGACGGACGTCCAGAAAACCTTCCCGACAGAAGAGCCTTCCCAGAGCGGGGAGGCGTGGCGGGCATCCGCCCTGCGGGCTGTCCGGTCAGGTCTGGCCCGGGAGCCCTGCCTGCCTACATCCCTCCCAACCGAGGTTCCAGAGTCTGAGACTCTGATTGCGAAGCCCCGCCCAGCCCTGATGTTCTAGGTCGTCCCTCCTAGTTCTGACATCCCTTGATCTCAGTCCCAGCCCCTCCCAGGCCATCCCAGCTCTGACATTCCCTGTTCTCAGGCCCCTCCCAGCTCTGACATTCTCCCTGTTCTAAGCTCCCTCTCAGCTCTGACACTCCCTGTTCTAAGCCCCTTCCCAGCTCTGACAGTTCCTGTTCTCAGGCCCCTCCCAGCTCTGACATCCCCTGTTCTAAGCTCCCTCCCAGCTCTGACATTCCCTGTTCTCAAGCCCCTCCCAGCTCTGACAGTCCCTGTTCTCAAGCCCCTCCCAGCTCTGACATTCTCCCTGTTCTAAGCTCCCTCCCAGCTCTGCCATTCCCTGTTCTCAAGCCCCTCCCAGCTCTGACATTCTTCCTGTTCTAAGCTTCCTCCCAGCTCTGACACTCCCTGTTCTAAGCCCCTTCTCAACTTTGACATTCTCCCTGTTCTAAGCCCCTTCCCAGCTCTGGCAGTTCCTGTTCTAAGGGCCCTCCCAGCTCTGACACTCCCTGTTCTAAGGCTCCTCTGAGCTCCGATGTCTCAGGACCTAGGGCTGGCAGCTCCCTGATCAGGGCCCACTTTCATAAGGGATGAAAACAAGGAAGTGGCTCTTGGGGTGGGGGCTTCCTGGACCCCTGCCCCTCCCCTCTGTGCTGAGCAGCCCAGCCCTGCTGTGGGGGAAGTCTCTTACTTGGCCATTTCCAAGCATTTGAGGGCTTCCTCGGTCCTGCCCTGCTCCAGGCAGAGCAGGGAGATCTCCAGCAGCGCGTTAGGGATCAGGTAATGGTCATACTTAATCTTCTTCTCACTGTGGGACAGAGAGGAAGGAGAGGAGTTAGGGGCCAGCCCGAGCCCTTCCTCCCTTCTCCCACAGTGGGTGGCCGGCCAAGGCCACATCCCAGGGACAGTCAGAGGGACAGCCTGGGCCCTGCAGCCTGGCAGAACAGACTGTCCCCTCCTGGTCCTCTGCTCTTCACACTCCATGCTCCAGCCAAGCTGGGTAACTCTGTCCTCATGCTCCTGGTGCTTTCCAACCTCAGGCCCTTTGCTCAGGGGGCTGCCCCCCATCCCCCCTTCTTTATGACTTAATTCCTATCCATCCTTTAATTCCCAGTACAAATGCCACTGCAGCCACCTCCAGGAAGCCTGCCCTGATCCTAGCCAAGGAAGAACCATCTCCTGGAGCCTCTCAGGAAGCCCCGGGTCCTAGCCTTCTTCCTGGGTGGGCTGAGGGTCCCCGGGGGGCAGGGCTGCAGCAGAACCAAAGCTTGTGTCTTCCTAGCCCTGTGTGCCAGGCTCTGCACACTGCAGAGCCTTAATGAACATTTGGTGATGTGCACTCCCCCGGGCCACGATAGCGAGGCCTCACCTTCCTGTGGCCTTAGGAGTCTCCCACCTGAGCCCATGGGAGCCACAGCAGGCATCCTTAATCCTATTTCCAGATGGTGCACCTGAGGGTCAGAAGGCCAAAGGAGCTGCTCACTGGTCACACAGCTAGTGGCAGGCTGGATTCAAATCCTGCTTGTGGCAGGTCCACCACCCTATCCAGAGGCTGCCCGGTCTGCCCTGGGGGTCCTCGCCACACCTCCAGATGCCCCAGCCCTCCCAGGCCCTCCTTAACCCCTCACAATACAGCTTCTGATCACCAGAACTCCTCTCCAAAGTGACAGAAGACCTCCCAGCTGCCAGGTCCACAGGCCCTTTCTCTGTCCTCACTCTCCTTGACCCCTGGGCAGCCTTGACTGCTGGGCAATCTCCTCCTGGCTGTTCTCTGAGTTTGTGGGTCACCCCTCCGGTTCTCCTCCTCCCTCTCTGACTTCTCCTTCTCTGTCCCCTTTGTTGGACCCTGCTCCACTTATACCCTCTGACCAGAGGGGTCCCCAGGGCTCTATCCTGGGTCCTCGTCCCTTCTCCCTCTATACTGCTACACTTAGTGATCCCATCAGCTCCATTTCTATGCTGGGGATTCTCACACCTACCTTTCCTGCCCCAATCTCTCTGCTGACCCCCCCCCTTTTTTGAAGCAACTGGGGTTAAGTGACTTGCCCAAGGTCACACAGCTAGTAAGTGTCTGGGGCCACATTTGAATTCAGTAAGATGAGTCTTCCCAACCCCAGGCTAGGTGCTCTGTGCACTTTGGCACCACCTAGCGGCCCTAGGAATGCTGGTTTCAGAGAAGCAAATTGAGCCTCCGTGTAGGACAGACTTCCTCACAATGGGGAAATCACCCCATCCCCAGGACCCATCTTTAAAATGGGTTAATGCCCACTGCGGGTTGGGACGAGTTGTGTAACGCTCAGAGCCATGATAAGAGCACCCCTTGCACTGGCCCCACAGCCCAGATCTGTGGCCAGGCCTCATGGTGTCTGCCTTGACAACCTCACTCACACTTACACACACACACACACACACACACACACACACATACACACATGCACACACACAACACGCACACACACATATACACGTGCACGAACACACACACAGAAGCGCACGTGCCCTCGCCCACAGCCAGGCCGGGCTCAGGCCCTCATCACCCCGTACCCCCTGGGATCTACCTGCCTCAGTTCTCCCCTCTCGTCCACCACATGTGGACACATGATTTTTCTAAAGCTCTGGGGGCTCCCTGGGCTCCTCTTCTCTGGGCTCTCAGGATCCTAGGTTCAGGGCTGGAGGGGACCTTGGCGGGTCCTACGGCCCAACCCCCCATTTTGTAGAGGAGCTGCCTGGCTTGCCCCCCCCCCCAGGGAGTAGGTGGAAGAGCTGAGGCCCCTCTGCAGTCCCGTGCCCACCCCCCTCGGCTGCAGGGCCTCTCGAGGAGGGGGCAGGGGCCCGACAAGGCCCGGCAGCTGCCAGATGCAGAGGCCTCACCTGGTGTGGATAAACCGGAAGTTCTCCTTGGCCTCCCTGACCTGGCCCAGGTGCTTCAGACACAGGCCCTGAAGCAGCTTCACCACACACAGGTCGTCCACCGAGAACTCGTTGGCTGAAAACACAGAGGCCCTGTCAGTTCCCCACCACTGGTGGGTGCTTAGCACAGGGCCTGGCACACAGGAGGCGATTAACAAATGTTGACTGATTGACTGGACCAGACCTAGGGACGCAAAAGGATTCCCAGGGGCTGTCTACTGACTTTGTTTTGAAACGTAATATTACCTATGTTTTCTTTTCTTTTCTTTTTTTTTTTGTTAAATACTTCCCAATTACACCTGAATGTGGTTTCGCAGCGTTTGGGACCCTTTGGGACAAGACAAGCATTTCTCAGCCTGAGGTGGCCACAGCTCTGCTGGCCATGCATACAGTAGGGGGCACTTATAAATGCTTGCTGAACAGAATCAGACTGGAAGCTCCCTGAGGGCTTTTGTCTGTAGGCGTTCAATAAATCAGCTGACTGAGGGACTGAACTGAGCTGAAATAAACTGATGGAACCCTTCGGTGTCGGTCGGGGTGACGGGGCCAGGGAACGTGAGATCCAAACAGCAGGAATCCAGCTGATTTCAAACCTCCAGCTCTGGTGGCTGGAAAGCATTTCTGATACAGAGTCATTTCCTGAGGGCCAGCATGCTATGGTGATAGAGGACCATAGGTCAGCTGGATTAGGGGCAGCATTCACTCACGGCCTCAGGAGGGGCCCAAGATGAGCCTGGCTTCTCCAAGGACAAGGGCGTGCAGGGCTCCCACAGGGGAGAGGGACCACCGGCCCCCGGGTCATGGCCCATCCTAGGGGCAGCCCGGTGGGCCAGACGCTGACTAGCTGTGTGACCCCAGGAACTCGTGGCCACGGCCGGCTGGGGGCCGTCCTACCTCAAGTCTCTCCAGCGCCCCCTCCTAAAGCACAGGCCCGCCCGCGTCCCCCCTCCTCAGTACACTCCAGTGGCCCCTCCTGCCAGAGGACCAAACAGAAAATCCTCTCTGGCGTTTAAAGCCCTCTGTAACCTGGCCCTTTTCTGCCCTCCATTCTCCCGCCCTGTCCGCTGACCCCCGCCTCGTTGCTGCCTCTCCGGACCCTGGGCATCTTCCCTGGCTGTGCCCCTCGCCGGGACACTCTCCTTCCTCCTGTCTGGCTTCAAGCCCCAGCAAATGCCCCCTCCTCAGGAAGCCCTCCTGGCCCCTGGTGCCCATGCCCGCCCTCTGCTCAGTGCCCCCATCTCCCCGTATGTGGCTTTCTGTGCATGGGGGACCTCGGCTCCCCGAAGGCAGAGACTCCGGTCTTTCTCTGTACCCCCGGGCTTAGCACAAGGCCTGGCACACACTAGGCATTGATGACTGATTGGCCTACAGTGACACCCTCTGGCCACCAGATGGCGCCCGGGTGCCGCACAGCCAGCCGTGCCCTGGGCTCGGTCTGGGCCCTTGGGAAGGAGGGGGAGGCGGGTGCTGCCCCCGGCCACGGTCACCTGGCGACTTCTCCAGGGTCTCCTGGGCCTTGACGAGGACTTCCAGCATGCCCTCCGTCAGCTGCCGCTGCTTCCCAATCACCGCGTAGCCGTTCCAGATGTACATCATTTCCTGGGGAGGGGGCCGCTGCAGTCAGTCCCAGCACGCTCCCCCATCCCCCATCCCATCTGTGCGTCAGCGTCCCCACGTGTGAAATGGGAGCGTTGGGGCGCAGGGCCACCGCGTCTAGGTTCAGATCTTGGCCTGGCATGGCCTTGGTCCTGTCCTGCCCCCTTTCTGGGCCTCAGTCTCCTCCTCTGTAAAATGGGGGGCGGGCCTCTGAGGCCCCTCCCAGCGCTCTGTCTCTGGGCTCGCTGGCAGACAACAGAACCAGTGGCTGGGTCAGGCTGGAGCCCCCAGGCCAGGGACGTCCCAGTGTGCTCGGCCAGTGCCTGGCACACAGCAGGCGCTTAATGGAATATTTATTGGCAGAGAAGGAAAAGTGGGGCTTGTCTGCAAAGGCCGACTTGGCTCCTGGGGCCTCCCCAAGGGGACTGTGGCCCTGAAGGAACGAGGCTGGAAACTTCGGGGGTCACAGAATGTCAGAGCTGGGAGGGGCCTTAAGGGGGAAGGGAAAGGGATGAAGTGTTTATTAAGTGCTTACTGTATGCCAGGCACTAGGCTGGGGCTTCTACAAATATTCTCTCATTCCACCCTTAGCACAACCCTGGGGGACAGGTGCAATTATTACCCCCATTTTACAGCTGAGGAAACCAAGGCAGACACTGGTTAAGTGACTTGCCCAGGATCACACAGCCTGGGCGGATCTGAGGCAGGATTTGAACTCAGGGCTTCCTGACTCCAGGCCCAGCACTCTACCTACTGAGTCTGTTCCCAGGGAATGTCCGAGCCAGGAGGGGCCAGAGAACAGAGACATCAGAGCTGAGAAGGGCCTGGGAGGCCCCAGACCAGGCAGTGGCTGACCTGAGGTCACCCCTTTTCCTGGCCATTCCAGGCCACCAAGACGCCAGGTAGGAGCTAAGTGCTGCCCTGTGACACGTGGCCCCCAAGGCCGACCTTACGAGGCAGGCTCCTTCACTATCAGTGGTCTCCAGGCCGCCTCCCTGCCCCCCTCAATAACCCTCCTAGCCCAAAGCTGCCCTAACCTGCACCCAGTGCCCAAAGGGCTCTTGGGCTAACTCTGACCCTTCAGCCTGCCCTGGCCGGACCTCCAGCCCCAGGTTAGGAAGGGGAAGGCTGGGGGCTGGCAGGAGTCTCCTACCAGGGCCGGCACAGGCAGCGGGATGGGGTTCGGGTTGAGGTACCGCCGAGACTTCCGAATGGCAAACTTTTCGGTGGGCAGAGACTTGCCAGCAATCTTGAGCTTCAGGCCTGGCACAGCTCTGCCAAGGAGAGAAGACAGAGGTCAGGAAGCCTGGCTGGGGAGGGAGGGGGCAGCTCCTGGTGCACCCCAGGCTAGACAGGGATGCAGGAAGGTGTCACGGGGGGGATGCTGACTCAGGGGGTAGTCAAGGAGAGAAAGGCCCGGCCCCCACCACAGATACAGCCCCACGTGAACATCACAGGCCACATCCCTGGACAGCTGAGGCCCTGCCGAGGGTCCCTTAGCTAGGAAGGGGCAGTTGTTGGCTGAACAGAATCATGGAGGGCAGGCTTCCTGTAGGAGGAGGGATTTTAGTGGGGACCTACAGGAAGCCAGGAGGCCTTGGTGAGGAGGGAGAGCGTCCTAGGCACAGAGAGGGACAGCCGGAAGGCCGCTGTCGCTGCCCTGAAGAAGACGGTCGGGCACGTCTGGACAGGCAGGAGGGGGCAGCTTATGAAGGGCTCCGAATGCCAAAAAGAGGATTTTCTATTTGCTCTTGGAGACAACAGGGAGGCACTGGAGTTTATGGAGTACGAGGGGATCACTTCAGTGGCTCAACAGAGAATGGACAGGAGGCTCGGGCAAACAGGCCCACCCGCTGGTCACTGCAGTGACCAAGGAGAGTCAGGGTGGCATCAGAGGGGAGAAGCGGCAGGCTGGAGCGACCCCGCAGACATGGCCAGAGACAGGGGGGGATCCAGGCTGACTCCTGGGGTGGGAGCCTGGGGGCCGACAAGAAAGGGGAGGGGGAGAGACAGAGAGGTTAGCGGTCAGCACCGTGAGGCTGCCGTGTCTACAGGCCATCTGGTTCAAGGTGTACAATGGCCAGGTGGGAGACTGGAGGGCAGGAAAGAGGTCAAGGCGAAAACAGGGCTAAGAATTAGCTACACAGAATGATCACCAGATCCATGGCAGCAGAGAAGAGCCCCAATGGAAGTGGCTTAGAGGGAGAAGAGCCCTGTGCATGAAGAATCAGCAGAGCAGATGGCCAAAGAGGTGGGAGGAGAACCAGGAGAGACCGAGAGAGAGGGTGACGGGTGGCCTCAGAGGCTGCAGGGGCGTCGGGAAGGACGAGGACCGAGCAAAGGCCGCCGGACCTGGCAGCTTAGGGGAGTAACTGCCATTGGTTACTGGAAGGGGCAGTTTTGGTGGAAGGCTATGGCAAGAAGCCAGGCTACTGGGGGGTCAGATGGGAGGGAGAGGGGAGGAGAGGAGGGGGAGGCCCCCAGGGTCGAAGGCCACAGAAGGCTGGAGAGATGGGGGTGATGGCTGGAGGAGGTGGACAGGCCGAGCAAGGATTTGTGTTTGGGGCAAGAAGCCGCCAGCAGATAGGGAGACTGAAGACAGACCAGAAAAAAGGCACTATCTGTTAGGGGCGATGGGATGGGAGGGGACGGCTTGCACAGGTGGATGGGTTGGCCTTGGAAAGGAGAAGCCAGTGGCAGAAGGTGTCTGGGAGATGGGAGGTGATAAGGAGGGAGGCAAGGAAGCTATTCAATCTTTTCTGTAAAATGTGAGGCAAAGTCCTGGGCTGGGGGAGGGGAGGAGCCCTGGGAGACAGGAGGAGGGCTGAAAAGGCCTGGAAGACCCACTGCAGAAAGTGGGATCGAGTCAGGAAAGTCTAAACAGGTATTGTGCTGTATACAATTCCATTTGTACTTGTCTCCTCTACCAGAATGTCAGCCCAGTGCCAGGCATAATTAAGCCAGGTGCTTAATAAATACTTGCTGACTGACTGCGTCAAGAGGTAGTGAGCTCCCCATCACCAGAGGTCTTCAAGCAGTGGCTCAATGTCCCTTCATCAGGGAGGCCACAGAGGGGTTCCCACTTGGGTCCAAAGGATTGGAGGAGATGCCCTGCAGGGCTGGGGCACCGCCGGCCTAGGGGTCCCTCCAACACCGGGAAGGACCCCGCTTTCTGGTGCAGGCTCAGACCTGGGGGTGGGGGGCAGAGGGGACAGTGAGGTTCTCACCGAAAAAGCTCCACTTCATCATCTCCAAAAGGTTTGTAATCGTCCTCTCCAAACATGCTGAGGTAGGCGGCTTTCATGTAGATGTAGGTGGCCTGGGGCGGGGGAAGAAAGACCCTCTCCATCTCTCTGCTGCTACCAGAGGACAGACCAAGCCCTGTGGGCCAGAGTTCAAGGCCCTGCACAGGCTTGCTCCAGCCCCTTTTTACAACCGCAGCCCCTACTCCACCCTTCCAAGTTGGCTCCAGACAAGTCACTAAAGACCAGGCTCAAATGTGGCCCTCCTCCAGGGAGCCCTCCCTGATCCTTCCCAGTGGGCAGGGACTCCTGCCTGCCACAATCCCAGTGTTCTCCTCACAGCTATTTCCCACGGTCCTCATTTAAACAGAGCCTTCTTCCTGCCAGCTGGGAGCTTCCTGGGGGCAGGGGCCCACCTCCATCTCTCCCTTCCCTGCTGGCAGACTCACAGGGTGGCCTCGGTGACTCCTCGCTGAGGCCAGGGCCAGCTACAAACTCCTCCCCTGGACCCTTGAAGCCCCTCCCAATATGGCTCCCTCCTCCCCTCCCAACATCCTCCCCAGGCGCTGCCCTTCACACACACCTCAATCTCCCGTCTCCACACCTTTGTATTGGCTGTGCCCCATGCCTGGAATGCTCTCCCTCCTCCCTCCTCCCTTCTCATTTCCCTCAGAATTCACTCAAGCATCATCTTCCAGAGAAGCCCTGCCCAATCTCTGACTTCAGTGCCTTCCTGGACTCCCCCAGCTGCCTGGTGTCCACTCTGAGGTGGGCAGGGGGTCTACCCCGTGGGCTCTGCCCACCATTGTCTGCGTCCCCTGGGAGGCACTGACTGTGATGGTGGGCATCTCCATCATCCTTGTTCACAGACCCAGACCGGGGGGCTCCCCTTGCCTCCTCCTCTGCTCTTCTCTCTCAGCTCTGCACACAGCAGGCGCTTAATACAGGGTGTTTGTACCTACTGCATGTTTCTATGCTGCATGGTTCTAGGGTCAGGACTGGCCAGCTGGCAGCCCTGCCCCCAATCTATAATCACAGGGTGGCAGGGCTGTACGAGACTCCCCAGAGGAGGCGGCCAGGACCCTGGGATGGTGGCAGGGGTGTGGCAGGGGGAGGGGTGCTCCAGAGAGCTACCAGCACCAAGAGGCAGGCACAGGACAATGAACAGGGCTTGACCCTGGGCAGGACATCTGTTCTCCCCCAAGCCTACCGTGTGACTCTGGGCCAGCCGTACCATTTCTTCTCTAAAGGGAGTGCGTGGCCTGGATGACCTCTAGGCCCCTTCTAGCTCTGACTTTCTGGGATTTTTACGCCAACAAGCCCAGCCTAGGGGGTTTCTTCCTTGTTGAAAATGGTAAAGTAGGCTGTGGCCGAGGGGACACCCAGAAATAGCCCCTAAAAAACCACCCCAAAGCCCACTGTGTCCTGGCAGGAGCCTCCAGTGGGAGACCTGACCAAGCCAGGCTTAAGCCCCAGGGAAGGGGGGAGGGAATCTGGTTCTCGGGCCCTGGGTTAGAGGGAGCAGATTCCAGGGTCTGGGGCCTTGGCCTGGCCTCCTGGCATCAGCCTGTGTGTCCACTGAATCCCAGGGCCTGGCTCTGAGCAGTGACCCCTGGTGACAATGGACAGGAAGTCTGTCTGATCTCACCCTGTGGTGAGGCACGCAGGGCTACAGACCCCAGTGTCCAGACTCCAGCACTTTTCTCACCATATCTCTGACTGGGGCAAGGAAGGTGAGGCCTCTGTGGTTCTCCCAGAATCCCCCAGGGGGCTGAGAAGGGCCAAAGGCCTCTTTCTCTAGTCTCAGTCCTGGGCTAAATGCACTTGGGAGGAATACACTGGTTCTAAGCCTACATAACATTCCTTTTCTGTGCCGCAATCTCTTTCACTGCAAATTGGGCATAACAAAGTTTGCTCTTTGCCATCTCAAAAGCGACGAGAGAAAGCAAGGTGCCGGGAGACGGAGGAGCCTGCTACAGATACGCTGCCCCTGGGCCGTATGACGGATGGTTCCAGGAGACTCAGGGAACCCCAAGCAGAGGCACCTGACCCCATCCATAACGTGACCATTCCTCCATCCTAGCATGAGGATGGCAAAGGGGAGCACTGGGTGGGGCTGTTGGGAGAACCCCTGTCCTGGGGGACCCCACCTCAGGGGGAGACCTGCCTCAGAAGTCCCTTCCTGCTCTTGGAAGTTCCAAGTTCCTGGATCCCCAGCTTTGAAGATTCTAGAGCTCTGGACTGCTGAAGCTCTAGAATTCTGAGTTTCTGATCCCAAGGCTCTGCTCTAGAATTCTAAGCTTTCCAGGCTTGTAAGAGTCTAAGGTTTGAAGACTCTAAAACCCTCTCAGTCTCAGATTCTAAAGGTGGTTGTTTAGTTTGAAAAAAAAAACAAAAACAAAAAACAACTGTAGGTTGTTGACCTGGTGGTCTACTGAAACCCCCAGGTCTTCCTCATATGAACTATGTTCCCACCACAGGTGAGTGAGGGGGCTTCTCAATAGCCTACCCGCCATCTTCCCCCCTCCCATACCTTGGACCAGGAGTTCTCTTTGCTGAGCAGGTCGGCATAGAAGTAGGCCATCTTCCACTGGCATTTGTAGGTGAAACACCACATGAGCTCCCAGTAACACATATGGTGGAACTGCTTCCAGTGCTGCTGGGCCTCACAGCACTCCTCAAAGCGCTGGACGGCCTGTGAGGGACAGACGCACACGGGTGGGGGCCCAGGCCTTCAGCCACTGCCTGCTGCCCTCTCCTCCCTGCTCCTCCCCAGGCCTTGGCCTGTGAGGAACAGACGGATATGGGTGGGGGCTCAGGCCTTCAGCCACTGCCTGCTGCCCTCATCTCCCCAATCCTCCCTGGGCCTTGGCCTGAGAGGGACAGATGGGGGGCCCTCAGCTGCCTGCTTAGCCCCCCTCTCTCCCACCTGTCTTTCTGGGGCCTTTGCCTACCCAGGCCTCATGTTCTGCTGTACTATGAGGTATCAGGGAAAAAAACACAGCTTGAGGGGTAAGGAAACTGGGACTGGTCCTGGTTCTGCCACCAAACTGATAATCACTTCCTCCTCTGGGCCTAGGATTTGCCCAGGGTCACACAGCTAGTGAGTGTCAGAAGCCAAACGTGAACTAGGCCCTCTTCTTCAGGACCAGTGCTCCATCCACTGGGCCCCCTAGCTGTGGTTCTTTATAATATACATTTTATATTATAATAAATAAATATAAGATATAAATATAAAAATATTTTTTTTAAAAACAAGTTTACCTATTCCAGATTAAGAAGCCCTGGTTTGGAGGATGAGCTCTAAAGACACATTCAACGTCCTAAACTTCTGATTCCAAGACTCTAAATGGGGGAGGGGAGAATCTTTGGAGAAGTGGCCCAGTCCATTTCAGGATTCCTGACAGAGATGAAAGAGAAAACCAGGTATATGCAGCCATGTGTGTGAGGCAGGGACTTGGGGAGAGCAGATTTCAGGGAGTCAGAGAGAGGCCAGGTAGACCCCATGGAGAACCAGAATTCTACAGGGGTAGTCAGACCACAAGGGGCAGGTGGTGGGAGGTGTTCAAGAAACATTCTGAAGACACAATGGGAGAGGATTCCAATGAGGAAGGAAAGGCCAAGTCCTCCAAAGAGACCAAAGTGGATGTCCCAGGAACTCAATCTACAGAGTTTAGATTTTTAAAAGACAAGTCCAGAAGACAGAAGTAAGGGCTGGTGACAGGATGAATGTGAGAGCCCAGAAATCCTGTATCAGTGGGGTCCAGAGTAAACCCCAAAATGTGCTAAGGGTTATGGGGGAGCCAAGGACTACCAAAGGGGGCTTTGTGAGTTACACTGGGGAAAAGAGGAGGGTCAAAGAAGGGATGGGACCAGTGCTGGAGGCAAGTGCGATGATGAGAGTATTCAAGGCAGAGAAGGTAGACTGACTCAATTCTTACATCATGTGTTTCCTCTCCAAGGAGAATGGTCTTTGGACTGGAAAAGACAGACCGAAAGGATTCACAGAGAGCTGAAACCCAAGATGGGTAAGGATCTGATCATAAGAAATCACCTGGCACAAACCCGTCCCAAGGTGCTGAAAGACTTGGGAGATGTGAATCCTGATCCACTCTCAATGATCTCTGAAAGACCAGCAAGAGAGGAAAGACGCCATCGTCATGGACACGGGACAATGTCCCAGTTTTCAGAAAGGAAAGAGGATGGAGTCCATCGTCATGGAGTTTGCTTCCAGCTCCTGGCAAAGTTCCAGGCTGCAATAGGAAAGGCAGGGTCTGAGCATTCTGAAGGGAAGCAGCCATCACAAAAAGCCAGGATGGCGTCAGCAAGACCAGGTCAGGTCGGTCTTGCTTCATTCTTGTGTAACAGAGCAACTGGTAGATCAGAAGGCTGTGCCTCAGTATCCTTTGATTATAGAGAGGCATTTGATGACATTTCTCTTGCTGTCCCTCTGGTGGACGAGATGGAGATATGTGGGCAAGAGGACAGTACAACAAGGGAAGTGAGGCAGGATAGTGGGAACAATCCTGGATTTGGAGTCAGAGAATCTGGGTTCAAATCCTGGCTCTGCTACTTTACTACCTGTATGACCTTGGGCAAGTGAATTCATTTCTCTGTCCTCGGTATTCTCACCTATAAAATGAAGGGGAGGAGATGGACTCGATGAAATCCCTCCACACTGAAGTTTCCTCTAGTTCTAAACCTACAATCCTATGATTTAGAATTGGTTGAGTGGTTAGATGCCAAAAGCAGTCATCAGTAAGACCCACTTGGCTTGGAAAGAGGTCTCTAGTGGAGGGCCTCAAGGATCTGTTGTATGAAAATGGTTACCAGCAACTTCAACAAAGACCCCATAGTCTACTCATCACACTTGCAGGTGAGACAAAGCTGGGAGTAATTGCTAATAGAAATCACAGAGGCCAGACCACTGCTTGTCAGCAAGGGGCAGTGAGGATTTCCCTTCAGGTTTGGGCTGGTCCATATGCTGCTGACGTCACTGGCCCCTTCTTGTTCTGAGACACCGTGGTTCTAAGACTTTAGAGCTTTGATGTACTAATATTATGTAAGTGCCCAAACAATGATGCCATGATGATGGGAGGACAGGTCGGGGACCTCAGGCCATGGTCAGGACTCACAGATGAGACGGGGCACAGTGGACAGCACCTCAGGCTGGCTTGGCTTTGAGTCCCAGCTCTGACTCTCTCTCACAGAGTGACCTCAAGTAAATTACTTCACCTTTCCATGCCTCAGTCTCCCCAACTGCAAACTGAGGATAACATTCATGCTCTCTACTTCCCAGCCAGTCAGGAAGAAAGTGATTTATGCAACTTTAAAGCACTACAGGTATGAAGGCCTAGGTATTTGTTAATTATCATGATCATTTCTATTAATTATTATTGTCAGTTCATTATTGCTTGCTCAGTGCTGGGGATTTTGGAGCAGCCACTGAAAGGGTCCCCCTCTCCTCTCCATGGCCTTCAAGGTCCACTTCCTCCACACAGCTGGCCCTCATCTCACCCCCTCCCAAACTGCTATGTGCTGACCAGTCTCACTGAGACTGGGAACTTCCCTGAGGGCAGAGCCTGGCCGTTCTCTCTCCTTTGGTCTGTCCTCTAGGAAGACCTACCTTTGGTCTGGTGCAAGGCCAATGTTTGTCTGGCCTCCCCATCCCGGGCCTCTGGGGACTCACCACTGCCCATTCTGACCCAGGAGAGGCAGTGCGGTGTAGTGGTCAAGGCACTGGCCTTGGAGTCAGCTACCACCTCAGACACATAATAACTAGGTGATCCTGGGCAAATCTCTAACCTCTCGGCCTCAGTTTCCTAATCTGTAAAATAACAACTGCCATTTCCATAGCACTTTAAGACTGGTAAAGCGCTTTACATTTTTTATCCCATTGGATCCTCACATCCTGCTGTTATCCCCATTTTACAGATGGGGAAACCAAGGCACATAGTGGCTAAGTGACTTGCCTGGGTTCACTCATCTAATAAGTGCCCGAGACAGGTCTTCTGACTCCAAATTTAGAGCTCTGTCCGCTGTGCCCCACAGCCACCTCGATGTTCCCTTCTGGATCTAAATCTATGGTCCTGGACGACCCCCCAGAGGCTTCGGCTACTCACTGTGTCAATGTGGCCCTTGATGGCTTCGATCCGGCCGGCAAAGAAGAGGAAGATGGCTCCCTGCAAAACAGGAGCGCCCACAGAGCACCTTGACTGGGGGAAGGATCCCACAGAAAACCCTGATGCTGTCTTGGGTTATCTGAAGGCCATCACAAGGAATAAGAGACAGACCCATTTTGCCTGACACCAGACTCAGGACTAGTGGAGTTCAAATATCCCAGAGGAATATGAGAAAGCCATTTCACTTTGGGTAGTGAGCTCCCCACCACTAGAGGTGTTCAAACAGAGCCTGCGTGATCTCTCCTCTTGCACTGAGTGGGAAGTGGGCCAAGGCCTCTAGTCCCTTCTAACTCGGGATTCTATGGGTGCTCAGGGAAGCTGCTGGGCCCACAGTTCCTGGTCTGGGGGAGGGACACAAGGGACAGGAGAAAGCACTTACTTTGGGGTAACGTTTCAGGTAAGGCTGGAGGAGCTTCTCGGCCTCTTCGATGTTGACGTTCCCAGTGCCTGTCGTGGTCGCAAGGAGAGAGAAAAGTTCAAGGACAGAGGTCAGGGCACTATTCTGCACCACCCTCCCTACCCCGCAGTGGCTGGTGAGCCCAGGCAGGGAAGTCACAATTATCCCTCAGGGAATAAGGCTGTGTTTCAAATGCTACATAGCTCATGAGCCCCCACTGGCGTGCTTCCCACCATGATTATCAGGTGAGAATCATAGTCAACCAGACTCAGTTGGCTTTTAGATGGAGGTATTTACTGAAGTGGTATAGTGAGGGTACAAAACCCTCTCCCCCAAAGTCTCTTTATAAAAGAATTCTTTATAAAAGTTTGCCTACTCCTCCCCCTAACCTTAGGCCCAGGAATTAGGATGGGGAACTGAGGAATAGGGGGATGGGGGAAAGATGAGGATGCAGAGGGTACATCTTCTTACCAAGCACGAAGCTGAGGAAGGTGTGATAACAAAGCAGCAACATGGTACACAGCACAGCCCGGAAGCTGTGCACAGAGGCTCCCTCCTCCAGCTGCAGCAGCCCGTAGTCCTGAGCAGGAGAGAGAGGAGAGTTGGAGAACCAGGGAGAGAGAAGAAGGCAGAGGGAGAGGGAAGAGGGAAAGGAAAAGGAAAGGAAGAGGAAGAGGAAGAGAGAAAACATTCAGAAACAAGAGGAAACAGGCAAGAGCAAAGGGAGGGAGCTGAGAGACTAGGAGGGAAAGTAAAGAAGCAGGAAGAGAAGAAAGCACCACCAGAGAGAGGGGGAAGGAGGGGAGAGGCCCTCCTGGGGTCTGAGCTCGAGAGCCAGAAGGAACTTCATTCACCCTCTGGTCCAATCCCCTCATTCTGCAGACTAGGAAACCAAGGGCAGAGAGGCTAATTCAGGACGTGTGGAGAGCTGGGATTTGAACCCAGGTCCGACTCCAAATTTAACCAGCTTTTCCACAGTTCCACACAGCACGTGGGGGCGGGGCGTGGAGGTCAGTGAGGGTCCCACTGTCCTCTGCCTCTAGAGCAGTGGGCTTAGTTCTAGCCACCACAGTTTGGGGGGGGCCATTGGTCAGATGGAGAGGAGGAGGACAGTTCAGACAGGGGCCCTGTGACCACGCCATAGGCAGAGTAGTTGTAGGAAGTGGGGGAAGACTTGGGGGGACACGAGAGCTGTCTTCGAGTGCCTGATACGGCTGCCACTGACTGTTCTCTGCCCCCCGGCACAATTACAATGGAGAATTTCCTGACAGCTGTCCAACAACAGAACAAGCTGCCTCACAAGGTAGTTTCCTGTCACTGGAAGTATTCAAGCCAAGGCTAGATGACCACATCATCAGGGCTGCCACAGAAGGGATCCCTGAGACGCAATGATATCGAATGATTCCCCTTCTAGTTCTGAGACCCTCCAAGCTCTTGGTGTCCTAGCTGGGAAGGAAGGAGGGCAGGGATGAAGACCATGTCAGAACACAGGAAATGAGGCCATCCCCTCTTGGAAAATCCCCAAAAACAAGAATTGGGAAAGACTCGGAGGTTGTCTCATCCCCAAGGCCCTGCCCTGCCTAGCCTGAGGGCTAGGTCATCTCCAAGCCTCTACCTTCAGGGAGCCCTAGACAGGAGACCCCAAGACCCCAAGCAGGGTTTTGCCTGATTTAATTTTCACGGACGATGAATGCAACATTTGCTCCATGGATGGCTATTCTAGCGGGGCTGGCCTCAGAAGGGTCCCGCTGGGGCTGGGCAGGAATGGGGGGGGGGCCCTACAGGCAGCCAGGGTGTCAGAGAGACTTTAAGGCACTTGTAGCAGATTCTTTACCTTGTTTCCAGAGAAGCCCACAAATTCCAGCAGCCGCAAGATCCTGGCAGGAAGCATGGACAGTGTCTGAGGGGTGGGAACACAGGTAAGCAGAGGTGGAAGGGAAAGGTCTCAACCTGATTCCAGGGCCCTCTGTGCTTCTCCATCCTCCTGCAGTAAACTCTCCCCCACCCACCTGCAGACATTACCCTCTTCCCCCAGACTGAAACCCACACCATAGTGTGTGTTAGGGAGGGGACCATCTAAGCTGTTGGCCAGAAAATCTAGGACTCTGTCTCCCTATAGGAGACAGGTCCCTATAGGAATGAATGTACCCCACCAGTGCTACCTGGGAGTGGAAGGAAGCCCCTTCATTAGCCCAGGAGCCCATTTCATCCATCCAGTGAGTGAGGAGGGCTCACCTCAGAGACGTGAAGCCAGGACAGGTGTGAGGGAGGGCAGGGAGGGAAGAGCAGAGCTGAGGGCCAGAGGAAGGAGGGGGCTAAGGGGGCACGAGAGACTGGGCCAGAGGGGGCAGCTGATGTCAGTGATCATCCAAAGAGAAGTCGTTCCCTGTGTCCATGTGCCCTCTACTTTACTGGGGGTTTTCAAAGCTATTTCACACTCAGCTGATCCTCCCAATAGCCCTGGGAACAGGCAGGGCACAGATGGTCAGCTTCCTGATGCTGCCGAGGAGACTGAAGCCCAGAGACAGGCGGTGACCACTCTCCCCCGTGTCACACCGGGAATTAGCAGCACAGACCTCTAGAGGAGAAGCCAGGCCTTCTGAGGATTCCTGAGGCCCAGGCCAGCATGCTGCCCACACCAGGCGGTTTGCTGTGAGGGGTTCCAGGAATGCCCTGAGAAGCCCCCTCCCTTTCTACCCCTTCACTCCTCCCATCACCCTCAAGTCTAGAAATTTACTATTAAGTATTTTTATCAATCAATCAAGTATTTGTTAAGTGCCTACTATGTGTCAGGCATTGTGCTAAGCACTGGATTTAATCTCCTGGAGTTTCCATTGCCCTCTCCTGGCGGTTGGTCCTCTAAAAAGAAGAACTTACAGATTTATACCAGGCTCCTGCGAGGGAGGCCATGCAAGATTGACAAGTAAGTGACAGGCTGAGATCTGAACCCAGGGCTTCCCGGGGTTCTTCCCACTCTCCCACTGCCTCCCAGGTAGGCCTGAGGAAAGGGCGAGGGTCAGAACCCACCCCAGCCACCTACTGGCTGTGTGACCTTGGGGAAGTCACCTCCCTGGGCCTTAGTTTTCTCGTCTATAAAATGAAGGGTTTGGCCTAGATGCCCTTGGAGGTCCCTCCCAGCTTTCAGTGTGGGATCTTATCCTCCATAACCAGCCCCTCCTCCGACAAGTGGCAGAGACCAAAGAGGAAACAAGCCACTTGGTCACTAGATCTTGACCTGATTGTTCCCATTTGCAGGGGCTGTTTTATTGCTTCTGTCTCCCCTACCGAAGGCCAAGCGGCTCTCCTCACCCTCTGAGCTGGAGGGAAGGCAGCAGCTTCTCCCGGTGGCACCAGACAGAGCCTCGTCTGCACCACTCTAGTTACTGGTGGGAGGCGGCCCATTAGGCTCACCTCTCCTGCAGACCGCGCTGCCCTCGGCATCCCTGATCTCCCCCAAAGAGCACCCATGGGGCTGGGCCCGCGTGGGACCTTCCAAAATGCCTCCTGTCTGTGAGGCTTGCCACCCCAACTAAAGGAAATGCTAGGTTCTGAGGGCACAGGCCTGGGCACATAAGGGGGACTGTGTGAACCTTGGTGAGAGTGAAAAAAGGACAGTCACCTTGAGTCACCTGAGAGAAGCCCAACCCAGCCCTGAATGTGTGAGTGTGGAAGGGGAGGGGGCGAGGAAGAGGGAGAGGCGGACAGGCGGACAGGCTTGGGGGTGGGGGCTGGTACTTACCAAGTTGAAGGCGCCCACACCAAGCTTCACCCCTCCTTCAAAATGGCTGTGGTTTTCCCCCTTCGGGTAACTGGAGGACTGTACCAGGCTGTCCAGCTCCCTAGCCACACAAAGCCTCCATTCGGTTATAGGTTATGGGGGGGGGGGTTCAGTTGGGGCTGCACCACCCCAACCCACCCCTCGCCCCAGCATGAGACCCTTAGAAAGAGCATGCCTAAGAGACCTCCCAACAGGTAACATACAACAGACAATAATGCTAAGAAATAGCAGGCATTTGCATAGCAGTGCCTGCTTCGCACTGAGCGCCGGGCTAAGTGCTTTGAAAACAGCTGAGGAAACTGCAGCATGCAGAGGTGAAGTGACTTGAGCAAGGTCACACTGCTAGTAAAAGTCTGAGGCCAGATCTGAACTCCGGTCTTCCTGCTTTCATGCCCGCTCCACCTAGATGGAATCTTAGAATACAGAATATTAAATTATCCTTAGAATGTCAGAGCTGGGAGGGGGCTTGGAACATAAAGCATAGAATGGCACAGCTAAGAGCAGGTGCAGAACACAGAATGCATAACATTGGGGGTGGGGCAGACCTCAGAACACAGACTATCAGACCGAGGTGCCTTCAGGCTTGTCGAGGTCCCCTTTCTCCCATTCTGCAGAGAGGGAAACTGAGGTACAGAAAGGGGAAAAGGCGTAGCCCCGGATTACAGAACTGGTGAGCGGCACCAGATCTCCCCCACAGTGGGCTCTCGGCCTCCATGCCACTGTTCACGGGCAGTCTGCTGGTGAGCCGGAGTAAGGGCCGCTCCAACTTAACACAGAAGCCTCATCTGAACCCCCCGGCTGACCAGCAGGCGCTGCCCTCTCCTGGCCTCCACAGGCCCTGGTGAAGGTCTTGGCCAGTCTGAGAACAGCCAGGATACTGACTGGATATTGGAAGGTCAAAGATGGGTCCCTGAGACACTGAAATACCCCAGCAGCAATGTTTCTGTCTCTTCGATGCTAACCAGAGGGGAGGGCTCACTGACTAGGAGAGGAAGGAGAGATGCGCTGGAAACGAAGGGAGTGTAAAAACGAAAAGAGAAAAACAGCAGCAAGAGAGGAGATGAGGAGGTGCACATCAGAATCATGCATTTGGCAAACACTGGCTTGGTGGCTTTACGTGCAGAGTCCTGTGATGGGCAGCTGGGTGCCAGGCCAAGATGAGCCCCCATGGTACCAGCCCTCATGTGGGGAGCAGGATGAGCCCAAGAGGCCCCAGAGGCCCAGGCCACGCCACCCTTGCCTTTCTGAACAAGGCTTCCAGGCCTTGACCTCTAGCCCAAACAACAAAGAAGCCAGTTAGTTCCCCAGGGCTCAGTTAAGTTCCATGAGGGCATGAGCTGCCCAGGGAACAGCCAATCTCCACCCACCCCAGCACTGTCTGCACCTCTCTGATGCATGGTAGCACATGAATATATGAAGTATTGGGAGGGGGGGGCACCACAGTATAGGAAGGACATTGAACAACTGCCTTCCAGTGTCTGGGGGGCTGCTTGGGGGAGCGGGGGGAGCCTTGCTCTGCTTAAAACAAGGGGCTGCCTTGGGAAATGGTGAGCTCCCCGTCCCGAGACATCTATGAGCAGAGGCTGGCTGGTCATTTGTCAGGGACGTTACAGAGAGGATTCCTGCTCAGGCTGGATTACAGCAATTCGGGCCTCTGGGTGTGTGACTGAGTGTCCCGGATAAGTGCGATGAGGGCAGTTGGGACCCTTCCCTCCATCCCCCAGCAGGACCGCCACAGGGGCCGGCCCAGAGCAGGCACCCAAAATGAGGCGATCAGAGGCCTTGAGGACATCCTGAGAGAGGAGGAGCAGAGAGTAGCAGACAGGCTGAGAGCGTGGGGGGAGGTGACCGCCTGGCTGCTGGCGCACTCACTTGTACGTCTGGTAACTGTTCCGCACCCTGATGCCTCCTTTGATGAAGCTCACCATGTTCTCATCCTGTGGGGCAGAAGCATCAGCATGGGTCAGGAGCTCTGGAGGAGGGGCCACGGGTTTGTGTGGGGATACATGACCAGCGAGGGAGGATTCAGGGAGGGGGCTGAGACAGGTTGCGGTCAGTAGCCCAGAGGCCAAAGGCAGTCATGGCATCACCCAGGATGGTACAGGCCCTGGGACTGCCAGGCTCATCCAAAGGGCCACGTCCCCAGGCTGACCACAGAGAAGGAATTCCTCCCACCACCGAAATGCTGAGCCCGGCTGCTACGTCTTGGGAACAGAGGAGCAACACCCTAGAAGGGACGGGACTTCGAGGCCCCGAGAGGTCATGGAACTTGCCCAGGGTCACACAGGTAGTCACTGGCAGGGCTGAGATTTGAACCTGAGACCTCTGATTCCGGGCAATAATGCCATCCATTACAAATGATGCTGGGGCCCATCACCATCCCTCCCCCACCCCGAGCCTGGCACTGGAGATGAGGTGTGGCCACAGGAGTTCCCAGCATTACTTGTGGCGTGGGGGCTGTCGTGTACATGAGTGTGGGTGGAAAGGTCGGAGGGCCCCCGGCCTACCTGCAGGAAGGTCAGAGCAGCTCTCTGCAGGAGGCACTCAGCATAGCATACTTCAGCGTGAATTTCTTCTGAGGGAGAGAAAAACCCACAGGCCGGGGTGGGGGATGGGTCTGTGCATCCCAGCCAGGCTGCCTGCCCCCTACCCACCCCAGCTGCCCCTGCCTATAGGATAGTGCCAGGGGAGCCCTACATCACCAAGCCAGACCTTGTACCACCACCCTAGCCCCTGAGCAGGGCTGCCCCCTGTTCCTGGCTCTGCCAAGGCCTGGGGACCCTTCATGGAAGAAGCTGTGGGGCTCTCTGATGTCCACATCACATGGATTGAGGTCCTGAGCACTGGGGACCTTGGGGGCCCAACCTCCAACAGGGAAGTCAGCCACTTCCCCAAATAAGAGTAACAAGTAATTAATAATGACAATAATAATATTTATGTAGCACATTATAAGTGTAAAAAAAGTTTGCAAATATTAGCTCATTTGAACCCCCTAGCAAATAAAGGCACAGCAAAAGGATCCTGATCCCCATTTTACAGAGGAGGAAAGTGAGGCACCAGGCAGTTACTGATAACTGGTCACGGGATCACAGAACTCAGAGCTGGTCAGGGTTTAGTCTGACCCACCACCTTAAGGATGAGGAAACACACCCAGAGAAGAGGCAGCAGAACCAGGACTCCAGCCCAGGCCTCTGACTCTGCCAGTCCCTGCTCCTCCTCCCTGGGCACAGACAATACTTCAGGACGGACACGGGGCCAGTCTCATTTCACTGTCTCCTCTCGCCCCTCTCTGTTATCTTTGAAGATGCGGCTGTTTCTGAACCAGAGCTCTTTTCCAGGACTGGAGCACATCCAACTCGGGCCCCCATCTTACAGAAGAGGAAACTGAGGCCCAAGGAAGGTAATGGGCTGGCTTGCGGCCACACAGCCAGCATCAGAAACTGGACCATTAGTTTTCTCTTAACAATAACAACAAACCACCACCACAACACAATCACAGAATTGGAGGGTTGGAGGTGACCTCAGAGGAAGGCATCCTCGCTGTGGCCTGCCAAGTGGTCTCCAGGCCCTCCCTCTCATCGCTGGAAGTCTGTCCTGACCATCCTCTCCTAAGCCCACAACTCCAGGGCCTGCCCCTGGGCCTTCTGTCTCCAGGCTATCAGCTCCTTTCATCCTTCCCTCCCAAGCCTCAAAACTGGAGGCCTTTCACCACGTTGGTAATTTAGGCCTCATGTCACGAGAAACTTCCTAGCGAGCCAAGCCGTTCTGGTGGTAGACGCTGCCTTTCAAGGAGAGCTCCCACGCCCTGGAGGTCTCCCAGCAGAGCCTGGACAACCCCCACTAAGAAATGCTGCTCATTCAGATATGGGCTGGACTAGAACCTCCCTGAGGTCCCTTCTGGCTCTAAGACTCTCTGTAAGATTTCTGGCCTCCACACCTCTTTGAGACAATCCACAGACACACTGGGGCTGCCAGCCAGGGTCTCCAGGGAGGAAATGACAGATCCCTGCGCATCACCACCGAGCCCCTTCTCAATGGCCTGGGGTCATCCTTAGGTACAGGGACTAGGCACTAGGGGACCCAGGTTCCAGATCTACCTCTGCCTCTTCCATTGGCTGAGCCCCTTCCCCTCCCTGGGCCTTGGCTTCCTCAACTGGAAAACTAGACTGAATGATCTCTGAGATCCCTTCAGCTGCAAGGTCCTAGGGTTTTAGGGTCCACTGAGAGGCTCACAGCAGTGTGCTGAGGGCTGGGGGGCTGTTTGCCTCTACATGCTCTGGTCCCATACTACTCTTTATATTGAGTGAATCTGGTCCCCCTTATGTCTCCTCCCTGGCCGCTGACTGATGCTTCTCAGGGTGGGCTTCTAGAAACCTGTTTCTTGCTCCTCCCCCCCCCGACAACTCCTCCTAACAGGGGTCAACAATCATCCACAGGGCACCTGAGAGCTGGCCAAGCTCTTCAGCTACCTGGCTGCTGTGCAGGCCCAACTGTAACCCTGCTCTGGACTGCAGGGGGCACTGCCACGCTGAAGGAGGAACATGCATGGGCTTCATGACAGCTCACTTCAGCTCCTCAGCCTCACTGTGGAGGGCTAAGGTGGCAGGGACTCTGGCTGCTGAATGCACACGGGCCTGGGTGCCACCTGTTAGGCCCTTCCCTTCAGAAACGGGCAGTCAGCTCAGCCCCTGCCTCGGGAAGGGCGGGAGGGCCCTAGTGGGGACCGCCTCACCTTCGGTGAACTGGTCCAGGGTAGGACGGTGCATGAGGTTGCTGAAGGAGCCCGCTACAGATATTTTCTTTCGGTGTCTGTGGGAAGAGAAGAGGGGTCCCAGGGCTGTGAGAGAGGGCACCTCTGCTCTGAGGCCCCTCCCAGCCCTGACATTCTCTGCTTTCTTTTTCCCACAAACCCTCCATGACTAATGGCTTCTGTTTTAGTCAGCTCTGACACAGATTCATCAGGGGCTGTAGCAAGTCCCTCCTGCCCTCTGGGCCTCGGTTTCTCCATCTGTAAAAGGAGGCGGTTGGCCCACTTCTGGTTCCCTTTCAGGAAATGGCTTCATGCAGAGTTCCTGGGAATACATGGGGTCGTGGTCCCACACTGGCCTCTGACACATCTCAGACCCCCGCATTCAGGCCCCAAGAGGTGGGGGGATTGGTAATTTAGGCCTCATGTCAGGAGAAACTTCCTAGCAAGCCAAGCAGTCCCCTCAGAGAGCTCACAGTCCAGTGGGGGAGGAGGAGGTCAGAGAAGACCACAGACAACTACAGAACAAGGCTGTGTGAACCATCAGGGCCCCAGCGAGGGACAAAGTGCCCCTCACAGCAGGGAGAGATGAGTCTTCCAGGTGGAAGGCTTGGGAACAAGGACAGGCCAGAGCAGAGGGGCTCTTTACCTGGGCCCGTGACCTTGCTCGTCCTGACCTTTGGATCACTGCATTTCCATGTAATGGGATTCTTTGGTCAGCTTTTGTGTTTTATTTCATGCATTACAGACCATCATTGTGAGGCTGCGTCCCAGGGCTTCCGAGGGGTCTAGGACACCCCACATCTAGAACTTGGGGCCAAATCTAATAAGATGAAATTCATCGTATAAATGCTAAGTCTTACACATAGAGTCCAAAAGTCAATGGCTGCATCTGGGATGGTCGGACAACAACTTGTCTGAAGATGATCAGAGGGGTTTAGTGGCCCTCAAGCTCAACATGAGTCAGGAGGGTGATGATGCACTAAGAGAAAGACGGCGTCTGGTACTAGGGAGGAGCTGGCTCCTCTGCCCACAGGCCAGGAGCGACACTGATAAGTCCTCGAGTGTCCAGAGGAGGGCCACCAAGATGGGGAAGGGTCCTGAGTCCGTGCCATCGCGTAACAATGACAGCTAGAATTTATATAGACTTTAAAGTTTGCAAAGAGTTTTATCACCTCATTTGATCCTCACAACAATCCTGAGGAGGTGCTATTATGTAAACTGAGGCAGACAGTGACTTGCCTAGGGTCACACAGCTGCTAGGTGTCAGAGGCAGCGTTTGATCTGGGGTCTTCCCAGCTCCAAGTCTAGCGCTCTCTCTCCACCGGGCCCCACCCCCAGCTGTAGAGAAGGGTCCTAGTTGGCCTTATGGAAGCAACCTCTGAACTGAGCCTCAAAGTGAGCCAGGAGGCAGACGTGAGTTCTAGGTATGGGGAAGAGCCAGGACAAAGGCCTGGAGGTGAGAGAGGGACTGTGATGCTGGAGGATCAGCGAGGAGGCCACAGGGCTGGTTCGTGGAGTAAGTGAGGAGAGTGATGTGTGAGGAGACCAGGAGGCCAGAAAGGTGGGCCTGCAGCCAGAAGCCCCAGGTTCAAGTCTTGCCTCCTGGCCGCATGACCCTGGGTAGTCCCAACCTTTCTGAGCCTTAGTCTCCTCATCTATCAAATGGGCAGCTTCCCAGGGTTGTGAGCAGGCTCAAAGGATGGTAAAAAAAAAAAAAAGCTTTGCAAACCTTCGAGGGCTAAAGGCTAGGCCCGGGATTTCATGATCATGAGCTCCCTCTTTGCAATTTGGAGTCTCAGAGCTGCTCAAAGCACCTGGATGTTCAGTGACATGCCCAGGGTCACACACATAATATGCCCCACCTGGGTGCCAGGTCAGGCACATCTTAGTTCTGAAGCCAGTTCTTTATCCAGTATTAGCTAGATAGCACAGTGGACAGAACAATGGGCCTGCAGTCAGGAAGACCTGGGTTCAAATCCCACCTCAGACATACACTAGCTCTGGGACCTAGGGCAAGTCACTCAATTTGCCTCAGTTTCCTCATCTGTAAAATGGAGATAGCAGCACCTATCTCCCAGGTTTGTTGTGAGCGTCAGATGAGATAATATTTATAAAGCGCTTAGCACAGCCTGGCACACAGTAGGTGCTCTATAAACGCTAGTTATTATTATTGCTCCATGCTGTCTTTCTGCAAACCTTAAAGCGATACACGCCTCTCACTCACTATGATGATTATTCTCTACACCTCAGTTTCTCGGGCTATCGCAGGGGCGTGCTGGGACCCCACAGCCTGGACAGCTGATTGCTTGTGAATGTTTGGTGCGAGCTTTTACACCTCCGAAATCCACAAGTGCCTCAAGTCGGGGTTTGACCGGTTGTTTCATCGATCTTCTAGACTTGAGAAAATGTTAACCATGCAGGTTAAACTTTAAAGTATGCCCTGCCTTTTTGGACAGCTGGTTGTTAAACATTTACCAGCACACCCCCTATCTATAAATTGCCTCCTTCACAGGGTCATTATAAGGAAGGAACTCGCAGCCCTGGGGAGAGAGCTGCTATATAAGTCATCTGACCAGACCACTGGCTCTTCCTTCCTGGAACGTCCAGTGCCCTCCCTGGTGCAGGCCACTCCCATCTGACTAAAGGAGGTAACCCATGACATGACTGACTCGAGGACCAGTTTTCCTGGTGATCAGGAAGCCTTTAACGAGTTTCATCAGCAAACAGCTCTGCCCTAGTGTCGGGGAAGGGAGGCAGCTGGTGCCCAGCTTTCCAGGCAACCACTGACCCTGCCCAGGAGCTGGGGCCAGCTGTCCAAAAAGGCAGGGCTGTGCTACCTTCCCCAAGTCACTTCCCTCTCCACCCTTCAGACCTCAGTTTCCTCTTCTGTAAAATAAGGGGACTGGACGAGATTAGCTCTAAGGTCTCCTCTGGCTCCAGAGTTATGATCCAGTTTACTAGTGCCCTTCCTAAACTGGTCTCAGAACTGAACACGATATTCTCTACGGACTGGGTGAGGTAGAGTACAGCAGAGTCACCAGCCCTTCCTTCTGTATACTTTGCCTCTTCATGCAGCCCAAGACCAGCTTTTTTAGCTGCCAACCCATGCTTGCAACCCCTGCAAGCCTCAGACCTTTTCCAAAGGAACAGCTGCCAGCCACGTCTCCCATCACTGCATTTGCAAAACTGACTCTTTGAACTGAAGTGAAAGACTTTCCATTTATTTCCGTAGACCTGTCCCAACATTGTAGCCTGCCTACATCTTTTTAGAGCCTGAATCTGTCATCCAGTGTGGTAAGTACCCCTTCCAGGTTTTCACCATGTGCCAATTTCATAAGTCTACTGCAGTCCAGTGGGAAGAGCGCTCCCGGGTTGGAATCGCTGCATTAGTGACCTTGGGCAGATCTTTTCCCATTCTGGGCCTTGGTTTTCTCCCTTATGAGAGGGTAGATGATGATGGTAACTCTGCATACTGCATCCAAATCTAGCCTAGGCCATATTCCCCTTCATCTAAGACTTATTTCATCCTCCTACTCTCACTGTATTCAGTATTCCAGAAACCCTGATCACTAAGCTATTCCCCAATCTCTGTCTGGCTCTTTGCCAAAGACTCTGTGCCTTTGCACAGGCCATACTCCCTGCCTAGAATGCCCCTCTTCCTTATCTCTGTGCAAATCCTCCTCTTCCTTCAAGCCTCAGCTCAGGCCCTGCCTCCTCTAAGAAGCCTTCCCTGATCCACTCTGATCCAACTGAATGGTATCCCTTCCTCTCCAAATTTTCTCAGAGCACTCTCGACCTTGTATCATGTCCATAAGCTTTGTCTATCTCTCCCCAGGAGACTGTAAGCTCCTTGAAGGCAGGGCCTGTACTATTCACCACCTTTGTTTCCCCAGTACTGAGTACAGGGCCCTGCACACAGCAGGCATTCAATAAATGTTGGCTGAATTGAGTCAAGCTGCCTTGAACCCAAAGACACCTCTGTAGCCTGGAGAGGGTCTTCCACATGCATTTTTCCCTCGCAAGGAGCTATTCTTTTTTTTTTTTTTTTGTGAGGCACTTGGGGTTAAGTGACTTGCCCAGGGTCACACAGCTAGTAAGTTTCAAGGGCCTGAGTTCATATTTGAACCTAGGTCCTCCTGACTTCAAGGCAGGAGCTCTACCTACTGCGCCACCTAGCGGCCCCTCAAGAACATCAGGCTCGGACATCAGGAGAGCAAGGTGGAACACGAGGAGTACTGGGCAGAGCCAGAACTAGGGCAGGGCAATCAGAGATTTGCCCTAGGGCGCAAATAACATTTACGCTTGTTCTGGGGCGCAGCTGAGCGTAATGGTTACTTATTAAAACAACTAATTCTAATTAGCTGGATGTTGGGAGATGGAAGGCTTCCTCCCCCCGTGCCGTGCCTACAGTCCTGAGGCCTCCCTAGCTACCTCATCATGAAGGGCCAGGACCCCAGGTTGCACATTCCACCTGAGTTTGTCTTAAAAAGCTAATTTGCTGGTATATTTCACGCTGTCTGTGTCAGGTGCCAACATCGCTAGTTACAGCTCTAGCCATCGGTCTGTCATGGTGACAGCCATGGGAGGCAGCGATTCTGGACCTCTTAGAGAGTAGGTTCTAGGGCCTCAAACAGTAAGGACAAGGCAGGGGAACAAAGCAGGGGGCTGAGTTTCTGGGGGACTAGGTGTCTTGAGTTATTAACGGTGGGATCTCAGCGTGGTGACTGTCAGGGTGAGAATAAAGAGAGTTTCGATCAGGTGGGTTTTTACTTACTCTGAAATCACGTCCCACTGGGCAGTCGTCTAATTTGTTTCTGTACAGGGTCAGTCTCATGGGAAGCATGGAATGTCACAGCGGGAGGGGATGCCTGCCATGACCCCTTACACTATCCTGCAACAAGCAATCCCTCCTCCGGCACCAAGCCCCACCTACTGACGCCCCCGTGCTCCCCACTCCTTACTTCTGGCACAGGGTCTGAGCCTCCTTCATCATGTTGCAGGCGTTCAGGATGTCCTGGGGGTCAAAGGTCATCATGGCCTGCATTTCTAAGATGGTGGCATAGGTCAGGGAGTGGTACATGCTGTCCTTGGTTCTGCGGGGAAAGAAAGAAGGTGGAAACTGTGAGAAGAGATACGCCACATGGCCAACATCGGCTGGGCCCTGGAGGGCCTGGCTCTGACCTAGGGCTTCATGGACAGCTAGACAGAGTAAGCACCAAATGGGGGTAAGCTCAGGACCCCACATCTGACAAGAAGAGTTCTCATCGACAAAGCCTTGTAAGGCTTGTAAAGTGCTTCGCATACATCATCTTGCTGTATCCTCAAGTGTGTCGTGGTTATCCCCATTTTGCAGATGAAAAAACTGAGGCTCAGAGAGGCCAGGGTCTGAGGTAAGATCTGAACCCAGGTCTGCCTGGCCCCAAGCTGAGCTTGGAGTCCTCTGCACACACAAGTATTTGCTATCGCTGGCCATCAACAAGGCATTCAGGCGGCAGAACATAAGCTCCTTGAAGCCAGGGGCTGGCTCCTGTCTTTGCATCCTCAGCACCCACTACGGCATCTGGTACGTAATCAACCCACAGCGGGGCATTTATGAAGTGCCTACTACATGCCAGGTACTAGGTGAGCACCAGGGATACAAGGAGTCTAACAGACGCCTACGAAGGCTTGTTCTTGGCACAGGAGGTACCTAATAACACTCAGCAGCTGGAGCACAGCAGGACTGCTCAGACCCAGGCCTCCAGACCAAGGACGGCCTGGCATTCTGAGTCGCAAAGTGGCTAATGAAGCGTCAGGAACGCCGCCACTTGCTCCCGGGTGTCCGGGGCCTGTGACTCCACCGGTGGGGGCTCTCCCTCTCATCTCCCAGTCCCTCCAGAGCAGTCCTGGCTGCCCTGGAGACAATCTTCAGGCAGGGCCTTAGGAGCCAGACAAACGGTAGGTGAACCCGGGGGGGCCGATACACCAAACGGGGCGGGGTGGAGGCTACATCCACAGAAAAGCAGCATCAGGGGGCCTTCCACAGCCCGGGAAAACCTGCTCCCTCTGAAAGGTTCTGCCTGTAGCCAAAATTATCACAGAAATAAGGACTGGGCCTAGAGTCTGGCCTCCCAAACCCACACGAGTAAGTATGTGCCAAGTCCATATGAAAGAAATGACAATTGGCTGGGGATGGGGACAGGCTCTGGCAGCTCAAGGAATCGGGGTGGCTTCATGTCAGAGCTGAGCTTTGAAGGAAACTAGGAATTCTAAGAGGTGGAGGTGAAGAGGGACAGCCTGGGCAAAAGTCTGGGGCAGGAGTGTGAGAGACAGCCAGAATTAGTGCAGGGCTGCCGAGGCAGTGGACATGGCTATTCTAGGACTCTGGCTGAGGGGAGTCACGAGAAGGACAACAGACTGAGAGGGTGGTGGGGCCTATGGTTGGGGGAGATCTGGGCAGGTTTGAAGGCAATAGGGAAGGGACTCACAGATAGAGAGGGTTTGAAAAGAGGGGCACGAATGGAAGATGCAATCTTCCAGGACAAAGGAGACAGGACCTAGTAGCCTGGGAGACCAGGAAGGGATAAGAGGAAGAGAGAAAATGATGGGGGAGAAGGTCAAGGGGTTGGGTCTTCACCAATAGCCTCTGTTTTCTCAGATGCATATAACAATAACAACAACAACAACAATAATAATAATAATAATAATAACAGCTAACATTTATATAATGCTTACTGTATGCCAGGCTCTGGGCTAAGCGCTTTACAAATATCTCATTTGGGCCTCACCACAATCTGCAAGGCAGGCGCTGTTAGAATCCTCATTTTACAGATGAGGAAACTGAGGCAAACAGAGGTGAGTGATTTGCCCAGTATTACATAACTATGAAGTATCTGAGGCTCCAGGCGCCTCCCTCCCCCGAAACCCCACCACACACACACACATCTTAGAGAAGGTCTTTAGCTGAGAGGGTAGGGGCAGGAGATGTGAAGACAGAGAAGACTATTTGGAACCACCACTATGGAGAGTGAATGACCAAATGAATGAGTATGTATTAAGTGCTTACTATGTGCCAGGCAGTAACAAGAGTGACTAGCTCAGGGTCACACAAGCAGCATGTTCTAGTGAAGAGGGACCTAGTTTGGGAGCCCAGGGACCTGGGTTCAAGTCCAACCACATTTATGTGACCTTCCTGAGCCTCCTTCTCGGTCAAATGCTAGAGCCTGCCCAGCTCTAGCACTTAGGTCCCTGTGACCCTCTTAAAGCTCTGACTTTGTATCTCAGTGGCAGAGCCAGGGCTTGGGTACAGATCTCATGTTCCCAAACCCCACCAGGACTGAGCCCTGCGGGCAGGCTTCCTGGAGGAAGAGGGGAAGTAACTTGTCCATGGTCACACACAGAGCCAGAGGGCTCTCCTGGCTGCCAGGCTGGGGCCCTTCCCACCTCCCCCACTGCTTCCTTGTACTCAGTGAAGGTTTGGGAGGGGGTGGGGAGGCGGTGGGGAGGCAGCACTCCCTGGCAGACCTGCCCCATCCCTAAGGCTCTGCCTGCCCAGTGTGTACCGAGCAAACAGAAGCTAGTTTGTTTAGCTCCAGCCCCGGAGCCTCACCCTCCTTATCCTGAGGGGCCCCACCCCCCTGGCCAGACTGCCCTAGGACCCAGCCCAGGGACCCAGAGGACTCTCAGAAGTGGTCCCCTGCAAGGACCCCAGGCACAGACAGGCTAGAGCCTCTGGGAACAACCTGATAAGCCTCAGCAAGGTCTTCCTGACCTGGGATACCCACCCCGGGCTCTCTGCCCCTCAGTCAGACAACTCCTCTCATTAACCCTTGGCGAAGCAATGGAGTTGGAGTCAGGAACAATCCTGCCTCAGACACTTCTTGGCAGCAAGTATGGCCCCAGGCAAGTCATTTTACCTTGTCTTAGCCTCAATTTCCTCATCTGTAAAATGAGGAGAATAACAGTACCTCCCTCCCAGGGCCATTGTAGGATCAAATGAGATCTTATTTGCAAAGCCTTCTGCCAACCTTAAAGGGCTCCATAAATGCAGGGCCCTGGGAACAGAGCTTAGTGAGAGAAAGGTCCTTTCCAACCCACCTCAGGAGACCCAGGGTGAGGAAGAGAACAGTGTTCAGGCCATTATCTGCCCAACAGTCCGCTTGGGGCCATCTCTCTCTCCCCGCCCTTTCTGTCTCTGTCTCTCTCTGTCTTTCTTCCTCCTTCCCTCCCTCTGTCTGTCTGTCTGTCTGTCTGTCTCTCTCTCTCTCTCTCTCTCTGTCTCTCTCTGTCTCTCTCTCTCCCAGTGTCCTCATCTTTTTTTCTGCCCACTCTCTGTCCCCTCTGTGGGCTCCTCATCCTCATCAGGCCCCCAAACAGTCAGTGCTGTTCCCCAGGCTCTGTCCTGCACTCCCCTGATCAAACTCACAAAATCTCAGTCGGGAGGAACCTCAAAAGTACCTAATCTAAATCAAGGGGTGGGGGGACACTCACCTTTTCCCCAGGTGACCTCATCAGCTCCCATGGATTTAATGCTCCCAGGTCTATCCATTCAGCATAGGCTCTTCCCTGAGCACCCATCTATGCCTGAAAGCCCCATCAATACACTGAACTCCACGTGTTCAAAATGGAGTTAATGAGCAGAAGTTGTAAAGAGGGTAATTTAGGTGGGGTGTCAAGACAAAGTTCCTTCCTAACAAGGACAGCTGTCCCAGTGTGGAACAGGCTCCTCCTCACCAGCAGTCTTGACCCCCAGCAGGGGTGCTGCAGCAGTCATTCCCTTTTCTGCTCTGAAGGGGGCTGGATGGCCCATGGGCCTCTCTCCCTCTGGGACCACTGACCCAGAGCCGCAAGGGCCCAACCCCCTTATTTTATGATGAGGAAACAGAAGGTCACACAGGCTATGCCTGGTAGAGCTGGGCATCACACCCAGACCATGCAGCCTTCACAGACCCTTTGATTCCCAGTGAGGTCCCCCAAGGAGGCCCGCCTCTTTAGTCCAAGGCACGGTCATTCCTGCTTCTCCCAAATACCAGTAAGGACCTAAGTGTGCCCATTCTATACCCCTACCTCCCCCCAACAACTCTCACACAACCCCCATCTCTGTTCAGGCCCTGGAGAGAGGCAAGAGCCTCAGAACTGGGCCCCTGGCTCCATGCAGGTCTGACCAAGTCAGTCCCTTACATTCCCTGTTACCTCCACGTCTCACAGTTAACCCGACTCCAACTCACCTTTCCAGTCTGATTTCAAATCATTCCCCTTTGTGAGCTCCTCATGGCTATCCCTCGGACTTGACACAATCTCCCACTCCTCCGCTATGCCCCTGCCAGGGATGCCCTCCTTCAAGGCTAAGCTCAGCTGCTGCCTCCCCCTTGAAGCCTTTCCGGGTCTCCCCCATGTCAGTGTTCTCTCCCTCCTATACTTTTGGCACTTTATTTCACTGCCTATGTATCTTCACCTATTTCTCTGTCTCTGCCTAATAGAATGGAAGCTCCTTGTGGGCAGGGATGAATGCCTTCTGGTCTTCGTCTCCCCAGAGTCTTGTGCAAGGCCTGTCGCACAGTAGGTGCTTCAGGGATGTTTGTTGGGCTTCTCCCTCCCTCCTCTCTTACTTGGAAACACAACAAGTCAGAGCTGGAAGGGCCCGTAGGAAGCCTTCCATTGGAGAGGGAGGGGCTTATGGAAGGGCCATGGTGGAGGGGGCCAGGGCCCAGAGGACAGCACGCTCTTCCTACTGTGACTCCTGCTCGCAGCCTAAAAGGAAGGTGGACTGGACATTTGTAAACACACCAAAAGCCAAACAAACTTCATCAGACTAAGACGCTTTGTGTGTGTGATTGTGTCCCCCCGCCCCGCGAGGTAAACAGATCTTGGTGGAAAAACCAGTCCTTCCCCTGGTAAGAAGCAGCTGCCAACCCATCTGGGGGCAGGTTTATAGAGAGGCCAGCCAACCACCAGCACCTGCCTAAGACAGGCTGGGAGAGAGCCGGGAGCTTGGAATTAGAAGACTGGGCTCTTCCCTTTGAGCCCTGGCATGTACTCCCTGGGCATGTGCAAAAGAGTCACTGTCTGCCTCTGGGCCTCAGTTTCCCCACCCATAAAATAGGGACCACCACAC